TCCCGCTCCCGCCGGGGGTGGTGCTCTGTGTGGCGCTGGCGCTCCTCCTCCTCCCTCCGCTTCCGCTGCTGCTGCTGGTAGCGGTGCTGGGCCTGGCGCTCGTGTCTCTGTGGGCAGAGTGGGCCGTCAGGGGGACTGGGAAGACAGGGTGTGTGAGCTCTCTCTAGAAGTGGGGCGAGATCTAAACACTGAGGGGGTGCTCACTGCGTCTCCTGACCTACACCAGTGCTTTCTGAAAACTGAGAAAAGAAAGAACATTTACGGGCCACCAACGATCTCCACCCATGTGCCAGGCACCGTCTTATCAGCTGGGAGGGGATCAACAAATACTGGGCCTCCGTGGGCCTCTGCCTTCTGGAAAACCAGCAGGAGACAGAGCTGTGACAGGCACAGACCAGAGTCCTCACTGGCCAGTCCACTTGCCACACGTGGCTTTTGCAATGTCAGTCCAGGTATGTGATTGCCACCTGTTCTAAGGGGCCACATGGGCAGCATAGACACAGGACACTTCTGTCACCATGGAGAGCTCTGGGAATTGGTCCTGGACAGCTCCACGGGTCGACACCCATGAGCTCATTTCTGAGGAATGCGGCAGAGGCTGGGCTTCCAGGAAGCGTGCCCCAGATCCTGAACGCGCAGGTGGTGACTGCATGCTGAGTGCCAGCCCTGTGCTGGGTGCCTCCGGGCTTCCAGAAGGGATCGGGTCCGTTTGGAGTGCTAATTCTTACCCAGGCTCTGCACACTTGCCTTCCCGCGAAGGCCATGGCCACCAGCCAGGCAAGGGGATGGCCCAATGAGCGGAGGAGGTAAGCAGCCCCGCCCATCCCGAGTACCTTGAAGGCCTCCCGGCGCTGGTATTCGAGCTTGGCCATCTCTTCGGCCACCCACCCGGGGATGTCAGGGATGGCCACGTGGATGAGGTACTTGAGAAGCAGAGCAAAGTGCTGAGGCAACAGAAGAGGAGGTTGGAGGTGGCAGGCTCAGGGGTGCCTGCCATCGCCCAGCTTCCTTGTCCGGCCGCCCGCTTCCTCACCTGGCCCCCAGCCCTACCTCAAGCACCACCACGGACACGATGGCCGCCTCGGGACTGAGCCAGGGGAAGAGGCGCTGCAGCTGCCCACACTGGCCGATGAGATAGCAGTTGACGATGATCGCCAGGACACCCATGGCCTCCATCACCTTCTGCGGGGGGACACGGTGGGGCTCAGGTGGGGTCAGCCCCCCTCTCTGGGCCTTGTGCTCCTTCCCGGTGCACCCCATCTCCCTGTGCACCTCAGCTTGGAGCCCTTGGCCCTCCCACACCTGCCACTGGCCGATGCTCTCGACCCGCTGCCCAAAGGGCCGCTGCAGCCCCGTGCACAGCTTGAGGGCATCGCTGCGGATCTCAATGAGGTTGTTGACCAGGGCGCACAGCGCAGCCAGGGGGAAGGCAGACGAGAAGAGCACGACGTAGCCAAACTGCACGAACATCTCCTGGTAGTCCTGGAACGTGTCCTGCGGGCGGGCGCCTACTCAGACCAGAAGACTTCCTCCCTCAGACTACCTTACTCCGTCAAGGCCACCTCCCTTAGAATATCCCATATGGCCCCAGAGCCTCCCCTCCGGCAGGCTCCTGCTTACATCAAGGGCCCCGTTATTTCCCCGAACCGCCACCATCAGACTGTGTGCCCGCCCCTCTGAGGGCCCTGCCGCCACCCTCAGACACCTGCCTTACCTCGTACTTCTTCATACAGCTCTCAAGCTCAGCCTGGGTGAGCTGGGGTGAGTGTTCCTCCTCAGGCGGGTCGATCCAAGAGGACCGATTCTGCCGCCGCTGCTTCTGGGCCAAGTTGCCTGAGCCAGTCTCCGGCTCTGGGCCCCCTTCCGGCCCCTGGTCACGGCCCTCACCCCCAGCCCGGCGGAGCAGGACAGCTGGGGGCTCCCGCTCAGGGCTGCCAGGTGCCCCCTCTACCTCATCATCCTCCTCGGCTAGTGTGAACACGCCCGGCTCCAGCCCCTTCTCTACCATGGTGGGGCTCCCCTCCTCCAGGAGTGCCTCCGGACTTGGGCCTGGCCGGTGTCGCCTGACCCCCCGCTCAGCAAAGCTGACCTTCTTTAGACGGAGCCCGCAGTCCAGGAGGTCGCCCTCCTCCCCTTCTTCCTCGTCCTCATCTTCCTCCTCCTCCTCCTCCTCCTCTTCCTCCTCCTCCTTGCCCCCTCTCAATCCATTCCCTCCCTCCCCACCTTCCCCCGTGGGCCGCCGTTCCACTATGGCCTCCTCCTCCTCCTCTGGTGCCCCGCAGCCCCCGCTGAGACACCTGCGGCGCCCCCTGCCACCACCGCTGCCACCCTCTTCGGCCTGGGGTTCAAGGTGGTAGGGTGCAGGGCGCCGAAGGCTGAGCAGGCCAAGCAGGGCCTGGGCCAGCTCCCAAGCGGCCTGTAGGCTGAGCTCGCCTCGGCCCAGCCGCCGGTACAGGTGTGGCTGCAGGACCTCGCGAACATTCTGAAGAAACTGGCGGGTGATCAGCAAAGTGGCCAGCATCTGGAGGCAGGAAAGGGGCGAAGAGAGCATGCGTGGGGAGCAGGCAGGGCCCTGGGCACCAGGACAGGCTACTGGGATGGGGCCCCCACCCTCCCAGAGCACATTTCCAGACCCCACCCCACCCCCGAACCCAGCTCCTAACTCCACCCTTTTGGAAGAGCCGACCCAGAGTCCCCAGCCTCTGTCACTGTTCACCTGCCGCCAATCACAGCCCGACCAGCCACCGTGCTCCTGGCCCACCTTGCTGAGGGCTCAGGGCAACCCTGCTTACAGCACCACCTGGGAGCTCAGCCACTGCCCAGGGCCCTGCGGGGCTGCCACCTGCACCACGCCAGGGGGGCCCATCCCCTCGTAGCATGCACCCTCAGCTTGTCATGAGGCCCCCAGCACAGCCACACTGCCTGCCCCAGCGAGGCCCTCAGGCTCGCCACCTGCCCATACTTTGGCCTGGGCCAGGTGCAGGAGGCCCCGGAGGGAGAGGAGGAGCAGGTGGAACTGCAGGGCCACGAGCGGGCCCAGCACTGCCCGCCCGAAGCTGCCGCTCGAGGCTCTGGGACAGGGACAGGACGAGCAGGAGCTGTGAAGGGACCGACGGACAAGCAGACAGACAGATGGGGGGGTGACAGGCAGAGAGGACAAACAGATGGACAGATGGACAGAGAGGAGAAAAGGATGGAGGATGGGGGAGGGGCTGGAGAGCCCATGGGCCCCTTGGGCCAGGCCCGGCCCCCCGTTGGCCGCCATGCGGGCAGGGCACTGCCTTCAGCCAGCGGCTCACCTCTTTCAGGCGCTCCATGTCCTTGAGGTAGAAGCCAATGTAGAAGAGGCTCAGGTAGGAATTGATGAACTGGAACTGTGGGAAGCAGGCAGTGGTCACCCTGCTGCCCGTCCCCAGGAGTCCTGCCGTGCCCCGCCTGTTGGCTGCCACTCACCAGAACAACCTTGATAATGAGGTGCTTCTCGTAGGCGCTCTCCAGCCGGTAATTCTCTGGGGGTCAAAGGGGCAAGTAAAGGGGCGGCCCGGGGTGCGTGTGGGGGTTGGGGACCTTCCTCCCGGGGGCTGGGCAGCAGGGACCTCCCCTCAGAGAGCATACCCATGTCGTTGAGCCAGATGGCCAGTTTCTTGTAGCCCTCCGCACTGATGCTGACCAGCAGGGCCAGCATGACCTTGGGCAGGAACCGCGCCAGACGGGGCAGACCCTTCACACTCAGCACCAGCTCCTGCAGGGAGAGGGCGTTCATGGCTCACCCTGGCAGCTGGGCGAGGCTCAGGCTGGACCTGGGTGGGTGGTCACCAGGTCCGGGCTGGGGCTGGGGCTGGTGCCCCGAGTTTTTTTTCAAGGGCACACTCACACACAGCTGGAAGAGCAGCCGCTTCCAGGGCGGGTAGTAGAACTCCTCGGCCCGCGTCACTGGGCTGATGCGCCGCACACCCTGGTGGAGGGCAGGGGCCAACCCGGCTTGGAGGAGAGGGGCTGCCCCTGGCCCCCCGCCCTTACCCATCCTCTGAAGTCATTTCCCCTCCAGCAGGCCCTCGCTTTCCCGGTACCCCCACCTGGTGCCTCCTTCCCAGTCTCCTGAATCCAAGTTCCCACCTTTCTTCTCTGAGTATGCAGAGTGCTCCCCACCCCCTTTGGCACACCCTTTCTGAGGCTGTAGCTGGATCTCACAGTTCCCGTCTTTGCTCCTACAGTGCTTCCTGCCTCCAACTCCCATTCTTGGAGTCCTTGGACCCAGCAGCTTCTGACTGACCCTGAACTGGGGTCGTGGCTCCTCCACGGCTTCCCCTGGTGAGTCCAGAGTCCCCCACTTGTAGGCCAGCTCTGCCCCCCGCCGTTTCCACTCCTCCAAGAAGAGTGTTGACCAGACCACGTTGAACAGGGCGAAGACCACGCAGGATACATCCTGGCTTGTCTGGGGGGTGGGGGGAGGGGGACGGGCAAGAGGGGCAAAGAGGGTTCAGCTGTTATCCAGGCTGGCCCAGGAAGGGGGCTGTCTCAGGTGCCCCGGCCCACGCCTGGCCCATGCCCAGCACCTGATCGGCTTCTGTGAACGTGTACAGGACGGAGCCGAAGACGGCTGGATAGACCATCGCCGACGTGTAGAAGCCCAGCCAGGCAAAGTACATGGCAATCTTCACACCAAAATAGTCGCAGATCTCATCTGCAGGGGTGGGCGGGTGGGAAGGGGTCCCCGGTCAGCCCTGCCCTCCTCCTGGGACTCCTGCACACCCCCTGGCCCCGGCCACACCTAGGGGCTGGTTTTCACACACAGCCTGCACCCAGGACTTCATGAGGCGGTTCAGGATGCGTTGCTCATGGACCGGGAACACTTGCTGGATGATCCCTCGGGCCGCCAGCTCGGGGACTGTTGGGAGACAGGAATGGTGACCCTTGGCCCACACCCCTTTGGCTGAAACCCAAGTCACGGCTTTTTGCCTGCTCTTAAACCTGCAAAGGCTCTTCCCGAGAGCAGGGGGAGGAGTTCTGGGTGGACGGAATATCTGGTTTTCCTCCAGAATTTGGGAGGTGCAGGCACAGGTGGGGAAGGGTGCAGGAAACCTAGAAAGGTGGGGGGTCCCAGTGGGGAACCATGTTTTTCAATAAAGCCACCTCGGTTCATTACTCTGCATGTCTGAGGAATGGGGTGCCACGTTGGCATCAGAAGGTGAACTTGCAGCGGCTGGTTTCCTGGCGTGGAAACTGAGGCCCAGGCCACACAGCACAACGTGCAAGGGAGTGCTGTCCATGGTGCTGCCGCCGCCTTATCCCAGACCCAGAAAAGGTTCCCGCGGAACTGCCACCTGGAGGATCAGCCGCACCCTGGGCCGAGATCCTTGAGCTCATCAGGCCCCACCCAGCTCTCTGCTCGCCCAATTGTTGTACCTAGGCCCCGCCCCCCCGCCGCGATAGGCTGTCCTCGGAGAGACCCACCCCTCCCCACACGTGGGCGTGGGCCCCGCCTCACTCACTGATTGGCTGGTCCTCCAGGAAACGCACGTTGTGCAGAGCCTCGCCCTGCTTGGCTCGCAGGTTCTGAAGCCAGAAACGGATGATGCTCTGTCGCTCCTGCAGGGGACAGGGCGTGAGAACAGCGAGTAACGCCTGCAGGCCAGGGATGTGCGGGATGTGCACTGGGGGCCGAGCCGCGCACCTGGGAGGTGAAGAAGCGTAGCTCACTCTCCACATTCTCGTAGATAAAGTCCTCCTCGCAGGAGAAGCCGCGGGTCCCCCCGCCAAACTCCGCCTTCACTGCTTTCCGCAGACCCAGCTCGTCGGCCCCTCGGAGGAGGCTGCGGGAAGGCAGGGGAGTGCGTCACGGGGAGACCCTGGCTCCCGGTCCCGGAGGGAGGGATGGTGCCCCTGGCGGCCGCCCGAGCCAAACGCAGAACGGCCGGACCTTGTCGTTGGTGCTCGGAAGGGCAGGGAGCTGGGTGTCAGGGTCAGCGAGAGGCCAGGGCCAGGGACTCGCCTCTCATACGTGGCGGTGACGAAGAAGGCATAGGCACGCGTGCGGCGGTGGTGGCTTTTTTGCCAGAGCAGGGTGTGGTCATCCGTCGTGTCTGCCAAGGGTTGCAAGGGCTGAGGAGTCTTGCCAGGATGGGTCCGAGGTCGCTTACAGACTCCCACTCAGGGGAGCCCGACTCAGGGAGCCCCGCCTGAGCACGGTGCGGGTGGGCACAGGTACCTGGGAAGGTCATGAGCACGTCGCAGTTCTCCGTGGGCACAGTCTTCATCCACGCCTTGTGGGACACCAGGTACCGACCCGCTTGCAAGAGCCGCTTCCCAAAAAGCTTATCTGGGGGGTGGGGGGGAGAGGGCCGTCCAGGCCGTGGTCAGGCCACTTCTGGACCAGGAGCCTGGCCTCCAGCCCTTGCCCCTGCTCACACACTCACCAGGGCTCCTGGGCACTCAGCCTGGCTTTCAAGGCCCTGCAAGCTCTGGACTTGGCTTGTTTCCTTG